CCAGAAAGGATGCGGGCATGGCTACGCTACTGCCATCTCACGGAATCGGCGCAAAACGAACTCATTGAAAGCTTCCCCCTACAATGGTATAGCACACTTCGAAAAGGGCCGCAATTGAGAGAAGGAGACTGGGTTTGCCTGCCCGGCCACAAGGAGGAGATAGGACAAATACACATTGTAAACCAAACACAGGCCCTAATTGAGCTCTTCTCCGTCCAAAAGGATGACACTCTACAATGGCTGTCTCTTATACACATCTAGATGTGTATAAGAGACAGGTACTATATATATATGTCATTTAAAAAAAAGAGAATTTTTTTTTTTTTTTATTTTTTTTTTTTTTTTTTTTGAAGAGAGGGCGGCCAGCTGTCGCATGATCCAGGCACTCCGGCCTGGTTCATGCGACGGCCGCTTCAGGATTATAAAAACCGGAAACGGGGTCCGGCGTCCCTCACATCATAGAGAAACAGACATTTGGAGGAACCAACGCAAAACCCTAGCTGCAGATAAGACCCTCAGCTGCCGTCCGAGGCAAACACCATCACTACAGCCACTCAAAACATAACTCCTATTGTCTGCAAAAAACAAAAAAAAACAGCAGCCGCAAAAAGAAGTCGTCCAACCCTAATTTCCACAATTCTGGCCACACGACAGAAACAATAACAGCAGCAGCCGGTTCCTATAGCGGCAGCCACTCAAAACGTAACTCCTATTGTCTACAAAGAAACCCCAATAACAGCAGTCGCAAAAACCGAAATAGTCCAACCCTAATTTCCACAATTCCTACCACACAACGGAATCAATAGCAGCAGCAGCTAATTCGTATAGCCCAACAATGTAACACAGACTGAATTCCAGCAGCTAGTTTCTATAATCCAACAAAATCAACAAAGCAGCATCTCCATATTAAAGACCGAAGGACTAAGCCCTCGATCGGTTCCATCACTGTCTCTTATACACATCTAGATGTGTATAAGAGACAGGCTATTATCAGGGGTGCTACGACGGCAGGCTGCGAAGACGAGGATAACACCTGCGTCGACAACAACA